ATGGTGAGAGGTCTTTCCCTTCGCGTCATGTGTGGGTTTCTGGTGTTCCGTCGAAGGTGGCTTTCTTTGTGTGGACGGCAACATTTGGTAGGTTATTGATTATTGATAATCTTATTCGCCGGCATCATATTTTGGTGAATTGGTGCTACATATGTTGTGCGGATGCGGAGACCGTTGATCATTTGCTTATTCACTGTCCGATTGCTTCTCGCCTGTAGGTGCTTGTTTTTTCTCTGTTTGGCGTGGTGTGGGTGCAACCCAAGCAAGTTCGGGATGTGCGTGGTTGTTTAGGGGGGTGGTCGAGTCAGGAAGCACCAGCAAAGAGCCTGGGCGTTTGCTCCTTTGTGTTTGATGTGGCTGCTTTGGTTGGAGCTGAATTGTCGGGTTTCCAAAGGAATCGATTGTTCAACTACAGCCTCGTTTTTGTGGTGTTTTGTACAGTTGGGTGTCGGGTCAGGTAGATCCTGATTTATTTGTTGTTTTAAATTTTGTGGATGATTTAGTTGGTTAGGTCCCTATTTGAGGGTTCGGTTTTTGTATTCTTTCAGCATCTCCTTGATACTTTCTTAATAAATCTTTATTTATCAAAAAAAAAAAAATGCATGACCTTAACAATGTACATGACTAATGCAACACATACAAAATGCAACTACTAAATTCGGCTACTAATATGACATGTGAAGCCACTCAAAACATGAGGTAGCACACATAATCATTTAGGAATTGGTAAGAGCATTGTGCATGATCAGCCGAATTTAATGTATGCAAAAATGGATACAAAGCGTGGTAATGATATGGAACGAAAACATAATATGATATACAACCACGGTAAACATATAAATGAAAGGGAGAAAGAAATGGGGGTTAAGAGACACACATCACATATTACAAATTTGCCCTCACACAAAAGGGTCTGAATGTCCTAATTAACTAATTATTACAAACACCGAATGAATGAACTAACTAGCTAATTATTACAAAACACAAATGTCAAGGCTACTAATCTAATGGACTTGAATGAGACGCAGGGACATGCACATGGGAAAGAACATCTTCTAGAAACCCCCACTGCTCACTACCAGAAGCTGCTCTGTTCACAGTCTGAAAATGACTCTGTTTTAGGCCTCAGGATCTGCTCTGTTTCACTGAAAAAACACTACAGTCGTACAAAAACTGGGGTTGGCTGACCTTAAGAAGTGGTCGGCCATACAAGATAATGGCCAGCCGGCCAAGGATTCTGGGAGAGGATCTACTGCAGTCAGAACTGGAACAGAGCAAAACCAGGGGGTTTCCAAAAGATGTTCATCCTTCCTTCTCTCTCCTGTCATGAAAAATTCTCAAGGAAAGAGTAGGTTTGCTTCACAAATCATCAAACATTCCAAGGGTATTTAAATGATGATTAGTGAAGCAACGGGATGGCAATTAACGGATGCAAAGCTAACTAAAACTAATTATGAAAGATACAATCAAAGATATGGCCAAAACCCACTTAATCTCATGCAAAACAAAAGCAAGTGAAGCTTAGAGATAATAGGTTTAGGAGAAGCCATTCTTGGAGGCAAAGCTCATGCACAAGAGGTTCCATCATTAAGAAAACCAAAGAGACTCTTCTCCCTACTCATGGAAGATGGATTGAAACCTCCATTTCCATACTTCAAAGGAACCAGAAAAGAGTCTCTAATGGTCTTGATTAAAGAGCTCTCATATAGCTATGAAGCAAAAACAAAACTAAACTAAGTAAAAGCAAGAAATGAAAGCTATAGAGAGATGATTGCAAGCTCATCTTCCTACTCATGGAACATGGATGAAACATCCATTTCCATGCTAAAAAGAAGGGAACTAGAAGAGAGCTTTGCAATATCTTTCAAGGAGAGAGATATGAGACAAGAATCAAACTATCTATACAAGCTTTAAATACATATATACGGTTCATATTTAATCAAAAACTACCTAAAACAGTGCTGAAATGAAAGAAAAGAAGCAAAAACAGGAAGAACAACAAGAGAGTAACACTAGAGAACAAGCCTATGGAAGGGTGGCTAACCCTCCCACCTTCAACAAGGTTTAAATCACATTTTAAAGCCTAAAATACTCTGAAAATCAGTACTAAAGACAAGAAAAAGAGAGAGAAAAGGTGGTAAAAAGTTCAAAGTTCACCTCTTAGAAGAGAGGATGATCTTCTTAGTTCACAAACCACAATCTAAACACTCTCAAGTATCTGAAATTGCGTTCAAAGGTTCAGCAAAAAGCTTCAAGTTTGAGCTTTAATGGTGCATGTATATTGTATCTATATTCAAGAGGGTGGAGGAAAGCTTTGAGGGAACTCTAGGCTTGTCCAACAATTCTCTAACCGTAAAATCAGAGGGAATGTGTTGTTTTTATAGACTTTCAACCGCCTTCAATGGAAATATCTGCAAAAGAGACAACTGGTCCAAAGCTCGTGCATGGGAGTAGTTGGCTACTACAAAATATCTGCTCTCGGTAAACATGGTCGACCGGCCAAGAGGATGGCCGGCCGGCCGGCCGGCCAAAAGAATGTGGCTTGTCGGTCATTTTTTGGTCTTGCTGCTTTTTGAGTGGTCAGGCTAGAAAAACAGGTTTTGGTCTAAATGGGGTGCAAGGTTTGGGTTTGATGCTTAAAATTGAACTCTTTTGTTGAAGATTCGAACAATTACACAGTATAATATTTCATCATCGAGTGTTCAGAGTGAAGCACCCAAGTCTTAAGAGCGGTCAAAAGGTTAAAAATAGGGTGTCTACACAATGGCTCGAGTTGGACGACCAAAATACTAGTTACTTTCACAAGAAGTTATGTACCAACAATTTCAAGAATAAGATTTTGAGCATTCAGAGTCATGATGGGGTTTTTATTGGAAGACCCTAGTTTTATCAAAATGGAGATTATTGATTTCTATAAGCGGTTGTTGGGCTCAGCTTTTCTCAGTAGATACACAAATTTGGATACTTTTCAACGTCTAGGTTTACCCAAAGTTCAACACTGTTCCAGAATTGATCTCATTAAGGCTGTCACTGATGATGAAATTAAGGCTGCTATGTTCAGCATTAAGGGAGAAAAAGCTCCAGGTCAAGATGGGTATAATGCAAGGTTCTACCTAACTAATTGGCATATTGTAGGGCCTGATGTAGAGTCTGCGGTGAAGTCATTCTTTCATACCGGTTCAATGCATAAAGGTTGGAATGTACTGCTATATCCTTGGTTCCCAAAGTTAAGTCCCCCATCACTGTCAAAGATTTTAGACCAATCTCATGTTGCAATATAACTTATAAGTGCATCGCTAAAATAATATCTGGTAGATTGCAAAAAGTGATGCCTTTTCTAATCAGTTCATCCCAATCAGCTTTCATTGTGGGAAGGTACATAGTGGATAATGTTCTTATGATGCAAGAGCTAGCTAGAGGTTTTCATAAAAATAACGGGCCTGGTAGATGTATGTTGGAAGACTGGCCTTATGAAGGCTTATGACCCAGTTGCATGGGACTTTCTTCTTGATACTATGGTTGCTAGGGATTTCCCCCAAAAGTTGGTTGATTGGGTAAAATAATGTATCTCTTCTGTCATGTACTCAGTAGTGATTAATGGGGAGCCTGTTGATTGCTTTCCAGCTAAGAAGGGGCTTAGGCAGGATGACCCTATGTCTCCTTATCTATTCTTACTTGTCATGGAAAGTTTTCATTGTATCCTTCATAATAGAGCTGCTGTTGGTAATTTTGTTTACTATCCTAGGTGTAAAGAATTGGGCATTTTGCATCTTGCTTTTGTTGATGATTTGTTCATATTTAGTGGAGCTGACAGATATTCATTGCAGTTGATTCAGAATGTGTTGCATTTCATCAAATGCCTGGCCTCCAACCAAATTTGCAAAAGAGCTCTATGTTTATCAGTGGGGTGGATGATCAATTTAAGGTTGAATTGTTAGAGCTTACGCAAATTCTGGAAGGGCACTTTCCTGTCAAATATTTAGGTGTACCCTTGATATCTTCTAAACTTCGAGTTCAAGATTGCTTTCCTTTGAAGGACAGAATATTGAATCAGATATGGTATAAATCCCAAAAATTACTTCCTAACCAAGATTAACCAAATAGCAACTAAGAGAAATTCAAACGCCAAGAAACAGAGTTTCTAAAAACAGATAATTGGCAAGCTTTCAAAATAACAAAATAGAACACTTCTTCCTCACACACAACTAAAATAAAATAATAAATAAATAAACACTTCTAAACATTATTAGAAATAAATTAATCTCCAATAAGAATAAGAATTTAAAAACCTGTGAATAAATGGAAAAAGCACAAACCAGTTTAATTTTCATTGTACTCTCCTCAAATGGTCTTTATTGTTTTATTATAACAGACACAGAATTCTATTATTTTCCTTAACATCGCAATCTTTTCTACTTCGTTTTTTGTCAAATTTTTGTATTTGACTTTAAAATGGGAAAAGAATGTCAAACATTTACTTGGGTTGCTAAATTTACTGATCAAATAACATTCACCATTTCTTGCATCATGCAACTCAAATTTCAAAGCAGAACAATATTAAAATCATAAGTTGACATTAACTTTAGCAACATTTGTTTCATTTCTTCTTGTTCATATATTCACTTTTTTCAATCGGCCTCCACCAATCGTGAATTCACAAAGTGACCATCATTTGTTCCATCTTTTGTTTTCATTTTGAAGCCACCAATAAAAACATAAGCACTTGAATTGTTCAATTCAACAGTAAATTAAATTAATAACAAAGACTCACGACGACAACATTGATTCATTCCCCAATCCCCATCACACAAATTGAAATTATTCATCAAATATTTCATATCTTAATATAATTTCTAGCGTAAACACAAATTGAAGAACAAAAGCAGAATTAAAGCCCTCCAAAATTCCCAATCATTTGCATTTTCTCAGGAACCAAGCACATACTATAATAATTATTATTATTATTATACACATAATTGAAGAGTTTTTTGAGTAAGTACCAGAAGGAATGGAATCGAGGAGCTTGAGAGCGAGATCCGAATCGGATTGCAATCTGGAGATTTTATCATCTGGGTTTGATGGAAAATAAGAGTCCCGAATGTTGTAAAGATCATCAGAGGCTTTCATGGCCTTTGCCATTGTATCTGCTGAGTCTTCACCTTGGCTTTGATTGCTCATCTTACTGGTTATGCTGTGAGAAAAGAACTTCAAGCACAGCTCAGTTTACTCACAGAACAAAGCTTAAGAGAGAGAGAGAGAGAGGAGATCAGTAAGCCCAGGCCTTTGTTTACTGGGCCAGTAAGTTTTGGTGACCTGTTAAAAACCCAACCCAGATGTTTTACTAGGCTACACTACCCATAAAAAATTTTAAATTAAAAATATGTAAAAAAAAAAAAAATAGAGAGGACTGACTGAAAAACTCTTGGCAGGGAGATAGATGGACTAATAAGTTCTCATGATATTTTGGTTTATTTTTAATTGTTATTATAAAAAAAAATTATTTTTTATTTTTTAAAATTTAAAAATCAAAATACTCTTATGTTTCATTGTCACTATAGTTGCCACATCTATCACCTTCAGATCATCGCTGAACTTTCGTCAGATAGTCATTGGAGACTTGAAATGTTCAAAACATCATCAAAAGTCATTGGAAAATCGCCAGAATGTTATAAACGCCACCGGAAATTGTCAGAATGTTCAAAACGTCGAGAATATCATCGAAGACTTAATGAAATATCTAGAACATTGTTGGGAAAAGGAAAAAAAAATATGAAGGGAGAAATTAGAGCGAGAATATACCAAAATTTAATCACATCATCTTCGACACCACCAAAAAAAAAAAAATCTCTTTATCGTAAAGAGTACATAATTTTCAACTCATAAAATTGTAAAAATTTGGAGTTTGAATTTATTGTTCATCAAACTGCATAAATTTGTAATTTCAAAATTGTAAAAATTATGAGTTTTCTTGTTTGCAATTTATCAAATCACAATTTCAAGTTGCGGCAACGGTGGAGATCTCAAATCAGGGTTTGTAACTTTTCAGTTTGTCAATATTTACTATTTCTTTTATTGTTTTAATAAACGGAAAAAAGGCTAAAGAAAAGCAAAAATGTATCTTCAAAACTAATTTTTTTTAGTTTTCACTGCTTATAACTAAAATTGAAAAAAAAAGTTTAGAATTTAAAAATTTTCTTCATTAAAATAGGAAAAAAGAAGTGTTTAGCAGAGAAAAATAAGAAAAAGTGAGAGATCGAAGAAGGGAGACAGATATAAAGAGAATATTGTATTTCGGCGGCTAAATCTGATGGACAACGATGATGATGGAGCTCTTGTTGACAATAGTAAGCAGAGAAAGATAAGAGGAGTATAAGAGAACACAGAGAGGGATTTGCCAACGACGAAAGAGGTGAAGGCGAAGCCAATCAGGTGAAGGAGCAGCTGCGGCAAGAGAAGATGGCCAATGATTGCCGATCAAGAGAAAGAGAAGAAGGAACGAATCAAGACTTTTTTGTATACACAAACATTTAGAATTTAATGGTGCATAGGTCCTTATAATAAGACCCGTGAATAATTATTCCAAAAGTAAATTGCACTAACATTTTCTAAGAATTAGAGAAAATATAATAAAATCTAATAAGTTTGACATAATCAATATAGACAATGTATGAACACATGCATAAGCATAATTAAAGAGAAAATATATACTATTTCAATATCATTTGGGTATAATACAAATACACTTTGTTTAAAATATGGATTATTTTATGTGATTTTAAAAATTACAAATATACTTTTGTCAGAATTTTTTATTTAATAAAATCAATAAAAAAATAAATTTTCTAACTACTCTTCTATACAAGAATAAAATCACCTGAATTATTAACTAAAATATATTTTTAATATAATTAAAAACTAAAAACTACTAATTAACTTGATTATTTATTAATAAGATAGATCATTTGTTATGTGATTACTTGAAGGAGCGGGATGCAATTTCAAAAACTATATGATACAATCCGTATTTTAAACAAATCTCAGGGGTTGTATTTGTAATTTATCCTATCATTTGTATTCATATTATTAACAAGTTTAATTTAAATTTTATTCTCTAAACTATTGCCGTTTTTGTATTTCATTCTTGTACTAATATTTTTGTCTATTTAGTCTCTAAATTTTCTAATTTCATCTAATGTAATTAAATTGGAGATAATTGTCCAAATCAGTAACTTGTTAAAGTTTAATTTGATGGATAAAAAGATTATTTTAAAATTTTAACAACAAATAACCAAATACTTAATTTTTTCTATTCACTATTTAAACAATTTTTAAAACATTGAGTGATTTGATAATTGTAATCACTTAATTTAATTATATTTGTCTTTAAAAAAATAAATAGTATATTTTTAAAATCAGGGCACCCACCTCATAGGCCATTTTTTTAATCTTTTAGACCATTAGGCCCAAGCTCTAATATCTTTGGGTTAAAAGGACATAATTTGTCCAAAATGACACTATCTGTTGAAATCAAATCAACCTATCTTTTGAAATTATCTAATTTGTTTATTGTTGAAAATTCACCAAGCCTATTTTCCTATCGGTTGAAATTCACCAAAACAATCTATTGAAATTCACCAAACAACTTATCTGTTGAAATTCACCAAGCCTATTTTCATATCTGTTGAAATTCATGTGACACATGTCACTCAATACCTTATGTATTGAATATCACATATTTTTTTATCTCACCACCACCACCTCGTGCTGCCAGCAACTTTTCTTGCCAATTTTTTAGCTACTTTTCCAGCAACTTTTTCCATCATCGGTGCATTTTTTCGACAACTTTTTCGACATGTCTTTATCACCAAATAAAATTTTTCTTTGGATCTAATATCTTATACACTCTTTACGATTGACTTTTCACCAAATTTTCTCTTAAAATTATTAACAATGCTACGTACATCCTTCTAATTTACCACCCTTAAACCACCTCTAATGATGTGGCATTGAAATTAAACCCTACATGATGGAATATTTGACAAATCAAAATTTGACATTTGTCAAACACATCATTAAGAATTGTTTTTAGGAGTGATAAATTAGGTGTCTTAAGCTTTTTCTAAAACTACACATGTCGTCTATGTTTTGAAACTAAATATGATGGAATTATACAATTACAATTATCAAATCAATTTAACATTTTTATGAATTATTATACACTAAAACTTACAAGATCAAAATAGGACCTGTATTGAACCTACGGTGCTCAAATTGAACTAGTCCACTATGCATGAATTAGAGACAAGCCTATCCCTTACACCCAAAAAAATAAAAAAAATAAAAGAATAAAAAAATACTCTAATGTTAAAATATCATTACCCACACATATGTTTAATTCTCTCTATTATATGTTTGTAATGGATAAATTCTTTTACATATCTAATGATTATGAAATAGAAATACAAGTTTCTAATTATTTTAAATTAAAAAAAGATCATTACAGTTATAATTGAATGATATAATGAAATATTTTCATTATAAATATGTAATGAAAAGGATCACAATCCCGTCTGTCATATATTATATAGACAGTTACATAACAAGATTTTGACTTTTTATTACTATTATTCACTAATTTATTAGTTAATAATATCCGATATGATACTGTACGGGAAAGAAATAAACCTTCTCGTATAATCCTGTTGATCAAGTCTGCGCTCTTCTGAACGTCGCCGGTTTATTCCCTGAAAACACAAACGTGAGCTAGCCGGCGGGTGCGTGCCGGAAACCTCTCCGATGCCTAAGTCAGCAAAATAGACAAAGACAAAAAGCTCTGTGTATCAAAGTTGTGTGTTACCTCTCCAAATGTGATATTTGTGAGCTTTTATAGGTTTTGTGTAGCATAATCTAAGTAGGACTTTTACTTCTCCATGCAGAGTCCTCCTAGGATTCATACTCCTGAAGGATATTGCTTATCCTTCAATACCCCCCTCACTGCTTAAATCAAGTGAGATGGTTTCACCATAGTCGGATTCTAATAGGACTGAGGTAATCATGGCTATGCTGACCGGCAGAGCACACCCAACTATACTTAGCTTGGTTCCTCTTTTAACTACTCCTTATCTCGGTTTCTCACGTACAAGGAATGGTGTGATTAGACCGAGCTACCGGCTAGTAAGGTTTTGACCGGTCTATCCACAATACGTCATGACCGGGCTAACTCTAAGACCGGACTAACTTCAAAGCACCTTCGAACCACCTAACTCCAAGTCTCTTCCGGACCGGACTAACTTCGGGGCTCTCTGACCGGTCTAACTTCAAAGCCTTTTTACCCAACCCTTCATATTATGACCCATGACGGCCCATTGCCTATCTCGGCCCAATTTTCATATAAATTACCCTCTCAATTGCCCCTTAATTCCATCTGCGTAGCATGATAGGGATTACCTGTTTTCCCAGCCGAGCTATTGTTTTCAAGCCTCTCCAGCCGAGCTAAAACCCTTTAGCTTTTCCTACCGAGCTAAAACTCTTAAGTTTTTCCAGCCGAACTAATTTCGTACCAGGCTCTGTATGTCCGGTCGAAACGTCTCTTCAGAATCATTGCAACTGAATCGCTTCTTATCCCGTATACACGTGGCAGAGTTTGATTAGCCAAGTATAGCTATCACGCCGCCTTCGTGCCTCGCGTTTTTTTGAACAGTTCCCGCCTTTTCGATCTTTCATCTACACAAAACAAACCCTTGCTATCTTGAATCACTACTTATCTCCTTCTCTCTTTCTTCGAAACCTCCACTGTCCTTCGCCCTCACAGTTGTGAAGCTCGTGTTTTGCTGCTGTCGTTTGCTCCCACCCTTTAGGCTGTTCGATCTTCATCAGGTAAGCATTATAAATATGTTTTATTTGTTTTGTTTTCGCACTTTGCTTAATCCATAGCATATTGTTTGTGTTTTTTCAAAGCACATTTTTGTTTTTCCTTGCGTTTTCTGAAAAAAACCTCATAAGAGCCACTTGTATTTCATGAAGCAGTCTATAGAACACTGCATTTAATCCAAAATCACAGTATAACCGAACTAAAAAGTTGTTTGTAGTTGCTGTCAGTCTAATCGGACTACAAAACCGAACTGACTCTTCATAACTAGTATCATCAATAAGTAAAACCACCCTTTGATTTCAATCTAACCGAGCTATAGAACCGTACTAGAACAATGTAACGGTGAATTTGAAAGCCCCAACCACGACCGAGCTACATAGTATCCTCCTTCCTTCGTGCCTTTTCT